TTACAGGAATTAGTGTCTCAAAATTCTCTCAAAGCCAGTTAAACTATTTTGAACCAGAATAAATTTTAGATGATTCTACCAAATATAATAAGATTTAATGTTGAATTTTTTGGTAAAGTCTTTATTTTTGGTAAAAAAATACTTGGACATAATAGACATTTGAAAGTTGCTAGAAATGATCCCAAAGAACCAAAGACATGTATAATATTGAAAATACTGAAATTTATTACAAAATGAGATTTTATTAACATGTGCCCAACTTTCTAATAATTCCTTATTTTTAATATTCTAATATTTCTAATATATAAAATTTAGTAGTGTTATTTATAACTTATAATTTTTTTAATAAAATTACTTTGCTATGTAAGGAAATATTGTATTTTGTTATTCATTTGAAAGAAACTTTTTTAAAATTAAAATTAATGAAATTATGAGTGACGATAAATTGACAAACCTCACTAAACTGCCTATTAAACATGAATACACAATGACCAGTTTTCACCAAGTCATCGGCAAATTTCTCGAAGTTGAGGTTCAAAAAGATTATAGTGTTATATTTACTACCGTAATAAGACAATGAGTGTAAGTGCGTTCCCCTCTCTTCCACAAAAGACTTGATGCAATTAAAACATGTTACCCAATATTTTTTACCTTTTCTTACAATTAGTTTCCTGCTGCTACTGTAACAAATTACCATAAACTTAGTGACTTTAAACAATACGGAATTTATTATCTCACAGTTCTGGAGGTCAGAAGTCCTAAAACTGATTCCTCTGAAGGGCTGCATTCCTTCTATGGCCTCTAGGAAAGAATTTGTTTCCTTGCCTTTTATGACTCATAAAAGTCGCTTGCATTTTTTGACCTGTGTGTGGCCCCTTCTTCCATCTTCAACACCAGTAGGTAGCATTTTCGAATCTCTCTCTCTCCTCTCTCCTGTCTTTCTCACTTTCTCTCTCTCTTTGCCTCTCTCTCTCTCTCCCCCCACTTCTTCCATAGTTACATGTTAACTGTGACTCTACCTTCCTGCCTCCCTCTTATAAAAGCCCTTGTGATTACACTGGACCCGCCTGTTTAATCCAGGATAATCTCTCCATCTCAGAATGCTTAATCTAATCATATTTGGAAAATTCCTTCTGCTATGTAAGGTAACATATTCTCAGGTTCTGGGGAGTCGGACATGAACATTTTGGGGGAACCATTATTCTATTCACATTTAAACATGTACTGTAATATTATGCATGTATTTATTTGTTTATGGCACAAATATATACATATTCATGCATATATGCACATATACAGTTATACATATATATATACACACACATAACAAAATGTTCTCTTTTTTTGGAAATTATTCTTTATTTCATTTCATTATTATGACTAAAAGTAATTTTGTCATATGGAAGAGGGGGGATGTTAAAGATATTTAACCATTAGAGTCAAATGTTTTAGATACATCATTGGTAAATAGTCTGCTAACTGTACCTTGTTTAAGTGAAACAATTGAAATAACATTCATTTGTGGAACCATTTGTGGCTCATTCTTTTAGTTAACTCGCCAAGTCAAATCCTATATCCATAAGCCACAAATGTGAAAAATAAATTGTCATGAAAAACTTTATTCTATTCATAAAGTATATATATATTTTTTAAAGCAAGATTGAGAAGAGAAGGTTCTTTGGGGGAATATTGTGGATTTTCCACCATATAAATTGTCATGAAAAACTTTATTCTATTCATAAAGTATATATATTTTTTTTAAAGCAAGATTGAGAAGAGAAGGTTCTTTGGGGGAATATTGTGGATTTTCCACCATTGACACAGTAAAGATGACTACTGACCATTTTGGTAGAAATCAAGTTTTCTTTTTTTCTTATCCATTTAGAAGCATATCTTCAAATTATTATTGCTACCTTAACAGAAGGTAGCAAGAAGCATTCGGTAAAAACAAAATTCCTAATGGCATGTGTGGATGCACTGTTTTTTCTCCTTACAGCAACTAAGATTAATGAACAAAGAAACAGTGGCTGACCTACCCATGGGAGTGCCAACGCCGTAACCTTTGGAGTCTATGAGGCCGCCAATCTGTGTCAGGTTACAGTTCCGCTGGGTAACAAATTCGATGGTTGTTGACTCCATTAAGAAAGCATAATCGGAGGTGAGGACCCGCTGGATTCCTTCTTCATTACTTTTGACGAGCACTGACTGCCTCCTGCTACTCATAAATGCCCACATTTTGTCATATGTAGAGATTTTTGATTTCTGGGGAAAAATAAGATACATTTCGTTCATAAGAAAGCTATTCCTTAGTTTCCATGTGGTCCTACAATATTTAGATACTACTGACTATATTTAATTTACTCATACTATCTTGTAATTATATTACTAATAAAAGAGATATCTAAACCATAAAAATCAAAAGCTATAAATGTTTATCACAGTAATTCCTCATCACATTCCCAGGTACAGTATAGATTTATTTAACAATGTCAATATTCAAAAATGTAAACTAGTAAATCATAAAATAAATAAAAATTAGAAAAAGCAAACAAGATTAGTAAGGAGGGTCTTTTTGTGCTTGTACCTTACATTAGTATCTCACATATATAATTTTATTTTCAACTTACTATAACATCAAATTTGGAACACTGACACTGGATACAGATTGACACTATAAGACTGAAAGTTTATTTATTTGTTTTTCCCCAATTTAGTTGATTATCATACAGATGCCACATTAACCCCAAAGGATACACAAAGGTATAAGTTGAAGAGATGAGGGGAATTTGTTGCAAATAAGGATGATACACATAAGATTGACTACATTTCCACTGAGACACAATCTGGTCACCACTTTTAGCCTGCCTCACAAGAACCAGAAATCATCATTCAGGTCTGCTAAGGAAAGATTCCTGGACCAGTGAAACTGAATAGTTTTATATCCAATTGAAAATCCTCAATAGAGCTTTACTAGGATTTCATTACTAAAGAAAAGAAATGGGTTTTGTTCAGAAGGCACTGGTAAAACATAAACATAGAAAAGGTTAACATCTACTTATTGAAATCAGCTCATCTGTGAAACCTTTATCCTCGTCTATTCTTACACAAATACAAATAATAATCCTGAAGCTATAATAAACACACAGAGGATGTTAACTAAACTGGTTGCATTGTCATAAAACGTCAAGGCTATTTTCAAACAAATAGATATGCAATCTTTTTTACACCTTAAGTGTGCTTTTATTTCTACATGTAAAAGGTCATAAATGTGATATTACCATTACTTCCACTAAAAGACAGGTGTACAATTATACCAAGAAAAATCCTGGCAGTATTTCAGTGGTAAAATAGCAAGAGAAAACTTAGAATCTACTGGCAGAAAAAGCCAAAGTTACGAGTGCTTTATAAAAACAAAGATATCATTAGGGCTAAGAGAAGGTAAAAATGCAAACCTTTGCTCTCCAGTTAAACAAGAAAGCATGCTAAGAGGTCAATGACTCAACATTTAAAAGAAAACAGCCAAAGCACCTGGAATGTGATTGACAGGACTGAAAGTTTTGGAAGCTACGGTCACATATCATTTTTTTTTTTATGTAAAAAAAACAAATTTGGGGAATACAACAGGGGAATGCTAGGAATATTTAAGGTTATGATGGAATTCTTATTGAGATTAGGACCAATAACAGCAATTTGCATAGCATCAGTGACAATGAGAATAGCTAGAACAAGTCCACATTTTTTGCATAGTAAAAATTTTTCTTCTAATATTTTGGATTAAGTGAGGCTGGAATAAAAAATAAAATGAAAATTAGAGCTAATCTGCCTATTAAAGGGATTTTATGTAAAAAAAATAAATTAGGCTGTTTTGATGTAATGAATTTGTGACTGATAGTAGATAAACACAATCCTATACATGATATCGCACAAAGTTACTATAGTCAAAACTGCACACACCACTTGACGGCTTAAAAAATAACATCTTTAAGGGAGACTAATAGTTTAATATCAAAACATGGGTGTACTCTCTGAGCCAAAATTAAGCAGAGTTGACAAATTTTGTTTTGT